TTGTTATTTTAGTGAAGCATCTTTGGCAGCAATTACAGCCTTAAGTCTTGAGTATGACACTACAAACTTGGTACACCTATTTTTGGACAGTTTCCTTTTGCAGTACGCCCTTGAAAATGTAAGAAAACTTGGAAAAGTGGAAACCAAAAGATGAAGCCAAAAGGCAGGCCTAAAAAAAACCTAGACGGTAGATGAACAGTATCTAAAAAGCCTTAGTCCTTAAGGAATTAATCTGGCCGTTCAGTTGATCTATCTACACTTCATGAGACCTTATCAGAAATGGCCTCAGTTATGTCCAGGGTGTACGCTGGTGTACGCAGCAGTGAGGGGCAGCGTACACCCTGGACAGATCGCCAGTCTGACACATACAGACAGACAAACAGTCACACTCACATTTACACCTATGGGCAATTTAGAATCATCAATTAACCTCACTTGTGAGAAGAAGAGAGAACCCACACAAATTCCACACAGAAAGACCACTCATGAAGGAAGGGAAAAAATAGGGCGGCAGAGTTGAGAGGTAGGGAGGCCTCCGAAATGCTGTTAACCTCGTGAATAGCACCAACTGCAGTTAATGTTATGTGAGTGCTTACTTTCTTTTGTGGATCAGTTGCAATGAGCAACTGTATATGCTACCTGGTGTTTGTTCTTGCGGTCGAGCTGGCCCATCTTGCTGTTCAGTTGGTCTTGAATGATGTGGATCTCAGTTTTCATTTCCTCCTTGGTAGCTTCCAGCTGGTTTTCCAGTTTATTTATGAGAGGCTCACAGCGGCAGCCATTCAGAGGAGCCTGTAACACAAACCAGCAATCCATATTTAAATCATTAAGGTATTGTAGTGGAAAAATGACAGAAACAAGGATGTTCATTAGGAATAAATGAAAACATTCTGAGCACTCACATGTGATGTAATTAACTCTTTACCTTTAAAACAGATAAATAGTGAGTGCTTGGTACTGTTGCCTGATATGCCTCAATGGTCACATTAAACATGAAGGGTTTTAGCCCATCATTACATTCTACAGTCTACAGGTAGGTTGAAGGGCAGAGGTGGAGGGTTGCCTGTAAAATGTAGTACATTACCACATTCAGGCGTTTTACACAGCGCCCATCAGCTGCGCACACTCAGCATAGACCCAGGGTTATTATAAATAGAAAAAATACACCAGAGGAAAGTAGTAGAGTAGTAGACTGAAGCTCCTTGCATGAATCAAAAGCAGAATTCACAATTTTCTTCAGACCTCCACCATAGGCATGCCACAGAAAATGGACAAAATCCACAAGTTTATGAACAGTGTGATAATAACCTTTGGGTTGTGTAATGTTAGAAGAGGAAATTAAGGAAATTCCAGCAGAAAAAAGGGAAATACGAGTTTTGTTGATTTGTGTATTTTGTAACAACGTTTCTTAGCAATAAATCATACAATGGGAAAGCTTTTTCATTTCCTCTTAAATGATGTCACATTTGTAAGGAAAATGCATTTGTGGGCTGAGCAACAGAGAGGATTTAATGCCAAGAAGCATTGCTACGACAAACAAATGGACATTTTCTTTAAATTTTCATTAGTCGCTCTGGTCACTGTGGTATAAGTGTCTCTTAATTATTTTATCAAGATTTAATACACACTACTAACCCGTTCATCCATAAGTTATGTCAACTT